TTAGTGTCGTGCTGGTCGCCGATATGAAAAATTGTTTAAAAATTGTTAATGATGTAATATCGATCCGAAATTGCATATACATGTGAAACTTGAGTAGAGCTATCGGGAACTCTCGCCAGAAATGATATTAGTGAATGCGTTTTGGTACTTTAGAGGGGAGGGTGTCGTGCTAGATTCGCGAAGTTTGCACGACGTTTTTTAAAATGTGAGTTTTTCATATAAGGAGTGCGGAACTCTTTCTAATTTTTATCAGGAACTGTAGAACTATGAAAAGTGCTATTGGAACTCTTGGTATTTTTTTGGAATTCGTAGAATGTCGTGCCAATTTCACAGACACATCAATATAGCTGTTCCACAAAACTGCAAGTTGATTGGCTACGCATTTCTCAAAACTAGAACTTGGACCAAGTACTAGCATCATGTTAACGTTACGAACAATATTTCTGCTAAACGATATTTCTATGTGTTAGCTCGTATCCAATAATACATATACATATATGAATACATCAGTCTATAACATTAAGTTATCACAAAAGCATTACACACTGCAGATTTGGCAAACTTGGGTGTAGAATTCCAATTGTTAAAACAATATATAGTTAAATCAAATACAGACGTATAATGCGGTGAAAGCATATGGTACAAACCGAAATGCTTTTTATCTAGACATAATATCACTGTGGCATGTTAAGATCATACAACTTTGGTTCGTAAGTCTGAAACCTACCTACCAATATCTACGGAACATAAAAAAAGCATAATATAATAATACGTAATATCTGATAGTCACCTAGCGTGCACTCATATGAAATTATAATAGATGGTTAAGCCCTTGTTACTTTTCGGAGGTTACTTGTCATTTTTCAGACTAGAATCTGACATCAGTTTTCAAAATAGTTTTATCATTACTTAGCAAACTAATCGACTTTTAGAAAAGAAAAGATGTTCAAAATGGAAATTTATCCTTATACCAAATACTTTTCTTTGTTCATATATATCTATTCCCTTTTTAGTACAGAGTATCGTAAACTTTTCTCATACTCTTAATTTGTCAGAAATTTTACTATAGACAATCATTTTATTTCACGTTTGATGATCCGACTATAACTAATGTAATCAACCAGACATTGTGTTTTACACATGGAAATTTGAGGTCTCAAACTACATGCAGAAAAATTATCACTGTAGAGCAATAGCTCGATGATATCGTTACGTCAACCAAAGCAGTTTTATCACGTTTCATCGCAGTGCTTGAAATTATGTTACCGATGCTCTCTCCATAAAGTTAATAAGACACTTACCTGATACCACAAGAGCTTCGTTCGGACCACAGGTGTGAACGTTTCCCATAGTCAGAGTTAACCTTCCTTTCCTTCCAACCAAAATAATGCTCCAGCAATGAGAATAATAATAATAATGATGATGATAATGATAATAATGATGATGCTAATGCTGATGCTGATGATAATGCTGATGGAGACGATGAGGATGATGGGGACGATGGAGGTGATAGGAATGATGAGAACGATGAGAGGATGATGATGATAACGATGACGTCGACGGCGACGACGTCGTCGACGACGGCGGCGGCGGCGGCGGCGACGACAACGGCGACGACGGCGACGACGGCGACGACGACGGCGACGACGACGGCGACGGCGACGGCGACGGCGACGGCGACGGCGACGGCGACGACGACGACGACGACGGCGACGGAGACGACAAAAAAAACGATGAGACCGGTATGAAAAAGGACACTAACTTGGATATCGATAACACTGGATGCACGTGACGCGGTATACAGTAACGTAATTTAACAAGAGATTGTTTCAAAACGCCCGGCGAATCATTAATAACATATAACGCGTTAATTGTCGTGTTAATCGGACAAGGTTACGATATCAACGATAGCCACTGCACGAAATCGTTCATGGTTTTCAAAAGTCCCTATCGAATGTACTCTAGGCTGCGTTCAGAAACGTCACCCTAGAGTACCTCTAGTGAGAGTATAGACAACGTCCGACATTAGGCTTGTTTTCTGTTCCTACACCACGGTCTTACATACAGGTCTTGCAACTTCGATGGTGGGGGTGTCTCACTTATTGAAGTCACGCTTATTAGTCAGCCCATAGACATAGTATATCTAGACTGCTGGTTCTCTCAAATTTCAGGAGTGGGGGTAGAGCTCACGTAGAAAAGGATGCACTCTGTTTCGTGTCTGTGCGTTCTCTCTCGCACAGGTTAGTAACTGCTTCCCCTTATCCCCTCTTTTCGCGTGTGCGAGAGAGAACGCACAGACACGAAACCATTGAACTATAACCATACTGGAA